GATATTCACGGTTGATTGCATTACAGTATGTATGGATGAACGCTGCGCGCCCACTGCCCTCTATCTCAAAAACGATTAAGTGTATAAAAAAATGTTTCAAATAAAATTTGTCCCAAATTTTGTGCTCTACAATTATGATAATAAGTGTTAACATCATTAGAGCAATAGAAACCGAGATAATCGCAAAATAATGTTTTTCTTGACCTTTGACCTTGAATAACTTACGACGCAGACACGAGATTTTATGAGACTTTTGAGACAACTTTTAGAACGCTAAAATGAAGGTATATACGAAAATTCAGCTTATTATCTCTCATTCCGAGGTTGATCGCTAATTTGAATGGACTAATTGTATTTTTTTAACTTACAAAGAAACCTGCTTGTTGTAGTAGGCAGAGATAATCTTCTAATTCCTCAAAATTTGGTTACTTGTGGTCTTGGCGGCATATCTTCTATTACTGTTTTCTTTTTGATTTGTCACATTTGATGACGTTTTCATATTGGAGATTTGTTCACTCGTTTCCTTTAGAATTTCTTTTATTTCGCACATATTTTTTGTATTTGTTTCAAGTCTAGAGTAAAATTATGTTCATTAGCACCTAGTTCATAAAAAATTGCAGTAACATACCTTTGCAACATGTTATGGCAAAGCGCCTCACTCTCAAAAACCATCACCGTAAGTTCTTCAAAATCAGCGGGAGTATCTTCAGTGATTAATGGTGGTATTTCCAGCTTGTCTGAAAAAACTGTTGTTGTTATTTACGTACAGTTATCAAAAACAACAGAAGCATGTAAAAATTAAAATGATTACTTCATTAGAATTATATTAACTTACCTAGTGTAAATTCAACCCACGCTGAATGGCACAATTTCACAAAACTGCATTAAAAATGAAGTGAGTTACGGATTCACGACAAAGTTCGGTGGTTGTAAACGAAATGGCTAAATGGAATTCGACAGCTTCACTGTGAGTGTGAAGTGCAATAACCATAAATGCGGAAAAAAGGGATCGTCCGACTCATAGACAAACCAAACCAACAAAGGTCCGACTGCACCCCCCAAACATCTGGTGGATAGTAAATGCAGAAGTTGAGCGTTATTTTTTCATTAGATAAAATAAATTTAATAAAATCAAAATTAACCACTCTCTAGGATTGATCATTTCAAGTTAATTAACAAATTCAATTCTTTTGATTTATGCGATCGTCTGTTAGACTTGATGAAGTCGTATCTTTTTGGTAGAACGCAGTTTGAAATCTGTAAAGGATTTAAATCAGTAGAAATAAATACAACATCAGGCGTTCCTCAAGGATCAGTTCTTGGACCTCTTTTGTTTATCCTTTTTATTAATGACATAACATCTTCATTGGAAAGTCGTTGTTTACTATATGCGGACGACATAAAAATATTTATGAGAGGTGTTATACTATTAAGGGTTTGGGAATAATTTTCGACTATAAATTTACCTTTGTTGATCACATCAACGCAACTGTGGCCAATGCTTACGAAACCTATGCCTTCATCTCTAGAAACTGTAAAGATTTTTGTAATGTAAGTACTCGTATTAGACTGTTTTATTCCTCAATTAGTTCGAAATTGGAATATGGTGTGTTAGTGTGGTATCCAGTTTATGATGTGCATTGCGAATGCAAAGAAACTTTCTTAAATTTTTAGCATATACAGGGTCGCCAGAATGTATGGAAACGGTTAAATAGCTTGAGAACCAACTGTACAAATCAACTGAAATCAGGTATAGGGGTACAAGAAGTTGTACTCTAATTATTTGTCAAAAAAATGTTTTTTGCTTAATTTATTTTCGAGATGTAAGGCCAACAACTGTTGAAGTGCAGAAGCATGCTATGCGCATATTCCAAGTGACTTTTTAATATTACAAAATTTTGTTATTACGTCATCAACATTTTAGCAAGGACATGTATATCAATTTGAATGGGTGCAGTGTAGTACTAATAATAACAATACTGTATACTCAAATCTTTGGAAAATTACGGTGAGCCATTCCTGAATTGATCAATACAACAAATTAACTCAATCATTAATTTTTTTGAGTCATCCTGAATAAGTAAAACAAAAAAATATGAAAGTACCTATTGATTAATCAAAAGTATAGATTCATAATATTTTGCATATTTTGGACAAAATAATATAATTCTATTCCACAGAATTTTCTTCATTACTTTTGTGGAGGGTAAAAGCGGATAAATTTTGATTAACGAGTGTTACATTCTTGATCATATTTAAAGTGATAGATGGATAGATATGTTTTGTTAGTTTTGTAATTGCTTATTATTATATAAAAAGTAGTAACAACCGTATTTAATTATAATTCCGTCTGTCCCAAATTAAGTGTCCGATTTGGAAGCAAATTTTGTTCCAAATTTTCGATTTCTCAAAAATGACTTTTATTATAAGGAGAAAATCTATTTTAATTGAAGAATTATTATTACAACAAATATAACATTTTATATCACTGGTGTCTCTTTTCCCTCATTTCGCAAGTGATTTAAATGAATTGAATATACAATTTACATATATGTATATGTAACGATAAAATTGTAAACAATTTGCCAGACGGAAGTAAATTTTCGGTAAATTTAAAGCATTTCAAAAAATCTCACGGTAATTTAATGCGGAGTTTGTCAGTTTGACCACCAAACAACTCTAACTTAGCGGATTAGTTCGACCATCACTGATAACTAGGATTAGGGTGGAGATTACTGACCAATTCGACCACCACTGAAAGTAAGGATTAGGCGAGAGACATAAAAATTGTTGTATATATAGTGTCTCAGATACTACAAGGTTATATGGCTGTTGTAAAATTATGATGGGCGAAAACAATGGAGCAGTTAATAAGGCAAACCCACAATTGTAAATTGTGTTTGTGTTGGTTTAATGCACCAAAAATGTTTAAACGGATTACCCAGCGGCAGATATTGCGGTGGCAATATATTGAGACAAATCCTTGATTTATGAAGCTAGGATTTAGCCGGTAACCAGCCGCACAAAAGGAATTATAACATCTCATTATTATGGTTAGTGGGGCCATATAAGCTTGTAGTATCTGAGACACTAAACAATGATTCATTAATTTCTTGTTTATTGATATATTTTGGGCTCCATTTATTGTAATCCGAAGATATAATATGTTGTTACCAGAGTCCAGGTTCCGTGTTCACTTTGGTTTTCTGAATGCAGATTTCCACGTAGAGTAATAAACGTGTGTGAATCATTTCATTCTAGGTTAAATTCTTCATTTCATGGAAATTGACTGTGTATCGCAGGAAATTGACGAATTTGTCGGAAAAGTTATATCATGTTACACTTTTGTAAAAATGTTTCTTATATATTTGCTTACTCTGTAAGTTTCGCTTCTTTTGTCTAAATGTATAATAAACGTATTTGCAACCATCTTCCCCCGTTTATTAGTCCTCTTATTTACAGTAAAAACCATTTGGTTGCAACTGGCAAAAATTTTATGCGAATAATCCCTTAATGGTGTGGTGCTTCCGAACCATAGTGATAAAGCATGCGGAGCCCTTGACAAGTCATTTTACGTACAGAAGAGTACTTCGGTTTTATTCTTGCAATGACAAATAGAGAAAATTCAGGTATAGTCTCCGAAATACTACAAAGTAAAATGGCCCCACTAAACTTAATAATGGAGTGTTATACAGTAAAACCTCTCCACAACGGACATCCGGGAATTTCAAATTGTCCGCTGTAGAGAGCTGTCCGCTGTCAAGAGGTTTCAAGACAAGAACTAAAGCAAGCACTACAATCAATTTATTGTTTATTGCTACATACCTATTATTTCTTTATTATATGTAAGTAATCATATTTTTTCTTTTTTAATATTTCTGCAATTTGCGTTTTACCAACGGCGAATTTTTCTAAGAGTCTCCGAATGCTTAATTTAAATTTCTTGGCAGTGTCGATGTGTAATTTCAATTTTTTCACTAATACTTAAAAATGTTCTTTGCTTAGCGGCCATGTTATACACTTTAAACGTAAACATTCAATCAAAAAATTAATGTTTTCTAAGTTCATTCGCACTTGACAAACAATAGTACAACAGCTTTGCTTTTTGGGAAAAACCCATATTTACTATAAACGGTGTGAGATTGAAGGGAATAATGACCTGTTACCGAGATTCTATTGCTCTAATCTATAAATTTTATCGTACGGTCTAATATCGGGATCACCGTACCTGTTACCTGTCCACTGTAAAGAGGTAATTTTACAAGGAAAACATCTATTACGGCCCTGGAAGATTTCACCTGGATAAGGGTAAATCCAATAAATTAATCCTTGCCATTCTACAGTGCTTCCTCTCGTTATTCCCATAAAATTTTTGCCGGGTGCAACCAAATGGTGTTTACTATACTTAATCCCTCATTTCGAACACGGTGGATGAACTTACTGGTATGTTTATGACTTATTAGTGCTGCCCTAGAACAAGACGAGGATCCGAAAGAGATTTTCAACAGGCCCAATGTGTGGAATTGTACATACAAAAAATAAAATTACAATTACCTAATGAGTTTTTGGTACAGTTGTTTGCTACAGGACTACTTAAAGCTTTTTTTTAAGTTTGGAAAATGAGACCGATGAGGGCGAAACCAAAAAAAAAATCGATCTGGGGATTTTTGAGAAAAATCTAAGCTTCTGGTTAGAGATATTGCAGTGACATAGGATGCCAAGCTGTTAAGTTCATAGAATCATAGAATTTTATCGTTAAGTTTGTAAACATAATCTCAAAATGTTTGTTAACAACGTTATACGAAATCGGTCTGGTTCGGATTAGTTCTATGTTAGGCCACACTTTCGAATTTTCTCAAGATGGAGATAACTAAATATAAAGTTTGTATTTAGGAAAAACTTAAATAATAACTGATAGTAGATAAAATTCGATTAGATCTAGAGATTACCGTTTTAAATTTATTTGGATGTACATACTTACATTTATTTACGTGTTTAAGTGATAAGTTTCTGAGCGTGTGGTTCATTCATTATTAACGTTTTCCATGTTTTCTTTAGTCGTCAGTGAGGTGTGAACTGTGAAAGAGAAAATGTGATGTTAAGCTGACATAAAAATATTTTAATTAGTAAGTAGACTTCATTGAACTAAAAACTTATCATCGGAGTCCTAGCAAAATATAAAACGATTAGCTACATGGAAGCGATCACTGCAATTGTAACCTCGAAATGAGTGCAAAATTGCATAAACCTTGAATTGACATCAACGCAAAATTTAAAGGAGATATCAACATTTCAAGTTTGATAAACACAAACAGCAAAGTTTACACTGAATGCTTTTGAAGCATGATACCACTCCTTCAAGTGTGTAGATTGTTGCGTGGATGTTCTAGGTCTTGTGTATCTAATAAAATATAGTTTGGTATTTATTAAACTTTATCCTCTTCTAATGTTGTTGTTTAAAATTTTATTTGGGAACCACAAAATGGGAAACAATTAAGTAAACTTTACTGAAGATAGGTACTTTTTTATTACATAAAATGTTTTCCTGCAAAGGGAAGAAAACGGAAGAGGCGTAAATAATATCGAACCAGATTTTGGTTTGAGATTTACTAGTGACAACTACTTTATAGTAAAAATAATAATATATTTATTCCTCAACAGTTTCTCTGTTGCAGGACAAGTACTACTAAAAGTGTAGGTACACATTCAAGGCAACTTAATGACATAACTTAATGTTTATAGCTAAGAACACACATATTGTTCAATATTGATACTTCATTTTTTAATGTTTGCAAATTTTGATTACTATTATTTATGGGGTTAGTCACGAGATAGTCCGTAATGACTCTGTGATAATGAGATGGTGCCCCGTCCTGCTGAAACCACAGCTCAAGTCGAAGGTTGAGAGGACCATTTTCTTATAAGCCCGGAAAATAATTTTCCAACAATTGTCGATACGTGCGTCCCGTTAAGTTGCTTTCGAAAAATTATGGACCAATTACGTAATCTGCAATAATACTAGCCCACATATTTCTGGAATACACATTTTGAAAATGGGCTGTTCTGATCCAGTGTGGGTTATTTTGGGAGTAATAGTGACAATTATGCCGATTAACAACCCTGTTATTGCCAAATCTTGCTTCATCGCTGAACCAAACTTTGAATAAAAAGTTGTTGTCCAACTCTAGTTGACATTGCATAAAATTGCAAAATTATAATCTTCTTGGAAAGTCTTCTTCTTTTAGATTTTGTACTAATGTCACATGGTAAAGGTGGAACTTATACGCTCTCAAAATTTTTGAAACGGAAGATTGAGATATTCCCACCTGTCGTGCTATAAATCTTTGGCTCACATGGGGGTCATTGTCTACGGCTTTAATTACAGGAATTTCATTTTCGACACCAGTAGCGGTAAGTCCTCTATTTCTTGTTTCTTTCGTCCAATTTTGTCTTAACATTTAAAGATTTGGTCGGATGGATATCACTTATCGGGATATCTTCTTTCGTAGAGATTTGCAGCTGCAACGGCATTTTTCCGCATTCTCCAAAAATCAAGATCATATCAACCCTTTCATCGTTCGTGTTTTTAACCCTCATCTTATCGCAAAGACTAAAAACTCAACGGAGTTCAAAATTGACAAATCGAATTATTGCGAAAGTCAAAATTAACTACTAGGTGACCATGTTTGTACATTTCAGAAAAATAAAATAAAAAAAGAGTGCATCGACCGAGGAACGCACGGATGAGTTTTAACTCTGGGTTCCTCTCTCTTTCTCTCTCTCTCTCTCTCTCTCTCCCTCTCTCTCTCTCTCTCCCAGATTTTTTAACTTTGTTTTCACCTTTTAAGTAAACTTATTCACAAATCTGCAGAAGTTATTTTCTTTCACTAGTTTTCTAGTTTCCAACAAGCAAGAGCTGACCGAAAGGTTAGCAATTAAACAAACACATGTGAAAACATGTGTTTGTTTAATTGCATAACCTGAAAAGTATCTGAAACCGCGAAGACACCTTTAAAATCGCACAACATTCTTTGATCTAGATAATTAATGAACACACGGTGCTTACATTGTAGCAAGAGTTTTTTTGGTGTTAATTTGGAAATATACCTTTCACCCGCCTCATTGTGTTCTCAAATCCTTGCCATGATTTTTGGTTTTCATTTTCACAATTATTAGTTTTATTTATTTTCTTATATCCTTATATCTTTAGTATTCAGCAACGTTTTTTGGATCTAAATGTTCACTATTTCAACTTCTTGTTTAAGCATATTTGGTATTTTTTTCTTATTGTGCTGTAGAAAATTGTTTTTTTTTCTACTACTGCTTTATTTCCTGTTTTTGTCCTTCTTTATCTGTTGTTTCACTTCTGGCAGGTAGTGAACGTTACTATTTTCTGCCTATGTACTTTCACATCTTTAGTGTGGTGAATTTTTCTCGTCGTTTTCTATACAGAATTTTATTGCATAATTTCCTCACCATTGTTGTTTTTCATCTTTCTTTATCTTAATAATAATTACGAGGGCGTTTTTTTAAATGATCTACCTAGCTATGATAATGACGTCACAAAAACGAACGACTTGGCTGTTAAGTAACTGCTAGTGTACTAAGTACTTTGACGTAACTTTGTACGGCTACACAAGATTGGGCAGTGTTGACAGAATTTTTTGTTTCGAAAAATGAGTGAACTTAACTTAGAGCACTGCGCGGATATAAAGTTTCTCACTAAAGAGGGAAATGGTGCGAAAGTTATGCATGTAAGAATGACCCAAGTATACGATACAAACGGTCCATCTTATTTTCAAGTAAAATATTGGTCGAAACAATTTCGATGGGGTCGAGACTCGATTTCGGACGACCCATGATCAGGAAGACCGATTGAGGCAAGAACTGAGGAAACCGTAGGACTCGTCGAAGATTTACTCCTGTTTGATCGACGAATGAAAATCCCAGTGCTTGCAAAAGAAGCTGAAGTCTTTGAAAGTACAATATTCTAGAATATACACGAAGATTTGGGCATGAAAAAAGTGTCTGCTCAATGGATGCTGTATGCTGTTGCACGACAATTGCAGGTTCCACAAGGTTCGCCATGTTCAAGCGATTATCGCAAACCGTGGCTTCAGAGGATTACCGCATCCACCTTACAGCACAAATTTAGCATCATACGACTTCTTTTTGTTCAAACATTTAAAAAAATACTTCACGGGCCGCAAATTTGCCTCAGATGAAGACCTGAAAAGCACAGTAGCATCGTTTTTTGAAGTGCAAACAATTTTTTTTTTTTTTTTTGATGAAATGAACCAGCTGGAGAAACGCTAGCCTAATGTATTAGCATAGACGGTTGTTACGTGGAGAAATAAATTTTTTTGAAGCTTTGTACCCTTTCCTTCATAGTTAGGTAGAAAATTAAAAAAAACGTCCTCGTATTATTGCCTAGTTTTTCGTTTAAATATCTAAATATTATTACACAATGTTCTTATGTCTATAGATTATAAACACATCATATATGTATAAAAAAAATTGATAGAAAGTTGTTCCCACAGAACTTCCCTCTCACCTAAAGTACAATGACACATATCCAGCATTTTTCTTTACACAATTTTGTGTTGACGTCATCAACATTTTTGCAAGGAAACGTATATCAGATTGGATTGGTGCAGTGTAATACTAAAAATAACAGTATTGTATTGCCAAAATTTTCTGGGAAAATGGAGTGAGCCGTTCCTGATTTAACCAATAAAATAAAGTGACTCATTCATTAATTTTTTTGATCTACCTGTTTAAGCAAATCTAAAAAATACGAATGCAATAAAACCACAAGGAAAAACTCATCATTTAGATAGGGCAGAATTCCGCAAAACTTTGCATCAATTTTTTGGGGTTGATAAACAAATACAGGGTCATCAAAATTGATTGAGAGAGTTGGTAAACCTGAACTTGAATAATTTGGTTTATTAAGTTGTATAAAAATATTAGCTGTTAGATTTGAAGTTTCAAATTTCAAAAGTCAGTGGCGTCTTTTTTCGATTTTTTTTTTTTGGTAAAAAATATTGTCAGATTTGAAGTTTCGAATTTTGGATTTGTTCGATTGGGTTTCCTAATAAGCGAGTAGCAATAAGGTATTGGGTACCCATCGACCAAGGCGATTCCTACAAACGTTAAAATCGTTCGCAACTTTGCAAGAAGGTAACTTTCGTATCCGCAACTGATTCAGGTGAGTTCTACAATCAACCCCCAGTTTTCTTGTCACGCCACTGAATTCATTGCCACATAACCTTAAACAAATCTGCCATAAGGTTGACAAACTTCACGGCAAAAACAGGGAGTACCAACTCTCTCAATCAATTTTGATGACTCTGTATATTTTAATTAAAAAGTTACCATGCTTACAAAAACTTCGAAAAGTCTGCAGGTTTTCAAAGTATTCAGTTTTGCAATGCTTGATTTAATGAATAAAATAAATTGACTCAGTCATCAATCTAAAAAATATTAAAGCAATGATAAATCACTCACATTTGCACATTTAAGATAGGATTTACTCATCAAAATTTTGAGCTGACGCCATCAATTGTTTGGACTGGACAAGCAAATATATTTTGATTAAAAATTTATCATGCTTATTATAACTGTAAATCATCTGCAAGATTTCAAAGCATTAGGTTTTGCAGATTCAAAATTAAATTGTAAAATGTTGTTTAATAATTTTAATTTTTTTTCCCAAAAATTTGGTCAAAACCAACACGGCTTCATCAATTACATGTGTAGGACTATGTCATTGTATACAATTTAAACCTCATTTGCTATGTACAATTTTGAAGTGACGTCATCACATTATTGGTAGGGATGATTAGACAAATTTTGGTTAGCGTTTTACCATTTACATGTTATGTCTAATAAAAATAAAAAAGAAATGCAAGTAATATCAGTAAATTATTTCTCGATTAGCCTGATATGCAACTCTGCTTAAAGTTTTTGAGCCTTATATATATGTTTGTAAATTACCTGCAGAAATAGTAATTTCGTTGCTCAAGCGTTAATTCGAAGCTTTTTATAATGAACCTGTAGGTCGATTCTAGTATAATGCAATTTCTCTTCAGTAAATTGACTGATATGATATGATTTGACTGCTGTCGTCTACCTATAGTCACTATAATTTTAATGAATTTTGTGAAGATTTCAGTTATTTCATGTTTCTTAAAAATAAATTAAAATTGAACACATATTTATATCTACTCTTTTAGATAACGGCAACAATTCTCTTTCATATTTTTCGTTGCATGTGGTGTTACAAAGAGCTGTGTTATTGTGTATTACATACCATAAAAATATCTTAATTGTTACAGGAACAATGGACTTTAAAGAATGGATGAAATCGCCTTATTCCTATTTCCTGGTTGTGTATTCATGTATTGTAACAATAGTAATGATGATACTGTTTATTTATGTGATTAAGTTAAAAATTGATTCGACCGATAGGACAGCAGAATCAGTAAAGAAGAAGAAGAAGAAGAATGTGTTGAAAGCTGACACCAAGTTCAGCAACCAAGGATGTGCAGACATGGACAAACTCGAAGATCTAGAAGAGCTAAATGACATAGTTGTAGATAATAATTACAATGATGACATGAGTTCCCGTCATCTGTATCGAACTAAATCATGTCCACTCCGTTCATTTGAACGTAGAAGAATCAGTGAATACGATGCAGTTGCATGTAGTTCGAAGTATAAGTTTGACACTAATCCTCCACTTGTTCATCATTCCGAAGAAGTGACTGGTTCTATGATAGACAGAGCAAATCCTTGTGATGAAATTTTGAGAGATGTAAGTACTGCGCTGTTCATAGCCCACAGTCATACCTCAAGTAGTGATGTTTATCAAAGTGTTGCAAGACAACTTTTGAACCTAATTAAAGTGAAAAAACCTAGTTTGTACGAAACAATTCAATGTGACGCCTCTAGACACACCTATGACAAGATAGACTACGCAAAAATGTCGAATATAAATCTGAAATCTGAAAGCGATTCCTCGACTGAGAGTATTTATGGAACATATATTCCTCCTGCAAGTCACAAATCTGTTGAGGTGGAGGGTTCGAACGAATTTTCTGGAAATCAAAGATCCAGTCCTTTAGACGTTGAAAGGGAAGAATGTTTTCAAGATCCTTCAGAAGATGAAAATTACCAGAGCCTCCTTACCTAAAGGTATGTGGAAAAAAAATAATTACTTCCAAGCTGCCGCTGAATCAAAACATTTGTTATTATTATTGGTGGTCTTAATTGTTACATTGGGGTCAGTTACTATAACTATTTACATTGTTAACAAGATAAGCATAATTTTACGATTTGCAGTTTTATTAGATTGACTGTTATCTGTGTTCAAAGACTTCACACTCCCCAGTAAGAAGTGTTGAGAGGAAACGTTTTATTTTACTGTACTGTACTCATTAATTTCTTGCTAATAAAACGAAATGATAAATAATGTCTCACGGTGTGGGTGCCTAAGCTAAGGAAGTATTGCAATAGTGTCCATAGGGCGACTGGCCACTTTCATGTTTTCTCAGTGTTACATGACCACTACAGAACGAAAAAGTAGGTCTCGCGTTTCCGTCTGTTGTCTGTGTTTACTTTAAGTAAAAAGATGTTCTCCGAAACTACAGAACCGATTGTTGTCAAATTTTATGTGTACGTTAAGAATACATATAGTTGATAAATAATAAAAATTTGTCGCATCATCTCCACCATCAATGGTATCACATCATTTACAAAATTTGCGATAGTAAAATCCAGTTTACAGAAGCTTAATTAAATATTTGACTGCGATTAAATTTTTAACACGGTGTTAAAGTACCACGTGCCCGACTAAATGTGTCGTTAAATTCGTGATAAGTTGATAACTTAATCTCAGTTAAAATATTGTATATATAAACTGGCCCTGTTATTTAAATTTTATGATTTAACATACTCTTGCATTTGTGGTTTATGTATCCGTGTTGAAGTTTTGCCATAGACTTCATTTTTGAGTTGAACTGGAATTGACAGTAAGCAGAGACAAAAAGACAATAAAAATCAAGAAAAGTTTTCTGAAACATTACAAAATTGGAGAAGATTTTCTCGACATATAAAAATTTCATTTTTTATTTTTTTATCAGATTTTTAGTGAAAACGATTAAATTCTTTCATTCACTATTAATTAGGTATCAATTATAAAATTGCAGTTATTAAGCATGAAACTGTTGCAAGATTTTTAGAGTTACTGGTTTGAACATTGAGATCCTACGAGAATTTGCAAGCTTGGATGAAAAGTGTTCCGACAATTGCAAGTCGACTGCATTTATATATATTTTGCGAAAGATTAATGTTTTGATAATGTTATAGGTATCTAAATATTTTTTTCTTATTCTTATTTATTTCGTTTAATGTAGCCGGTGCTGAAATCACGGCATATTATTGATTTGCTGTTTTTAATTTCGGTTATCTTACTGTGCAGCGATTGTATATTTCTTTGAATTTAATATATCGGACAATGGCACCACTTAATTGGTTCATGATTCCCAAATGCGAGCAAATACACAAATAAACGTTTCCTCATAACAGTTCATTAAAGAGAGACATGTATTTGCGCACACTATCTCTGTCAGTATGGAAAATGCAACAATGAATTTTTTCCTTTCTGAGTTTGATGTCACAAATATAATTTCTAGAAGAGTTCTAACCAGTGTTTATGCGCCCAGTAAAAACACAAATACACTGATAGTAACTATAATTTATTGTAGCAATTACACATTCATCTTCATTGCTTCCAGATCGCAGTCGTGATCATAGTCATTAATCATTACACATTTTCCCATCATACTTCTATCATCCAAATTTTTTGAGCGTTCTAATTGTGATTTACATTTTATATCGAAAACGAACTGTATCTTATCTTATCTTATTAGAAATTGTTCAGTTGGCTTACTGATTTATTAATTTTACATTTCTATGATAAGGGATTTCTACTAAGGCACTGGCGACATTTATAAACACTGTCACGTTTTAAATTACAATTAATTTTCAATCAAAATTACATGTTAGAGTATTTCACTGACATATTGTAGAATAAGAATTACAGAAGCTGATAATGATACTACGACGACATGATACGATGCCTGTGGGTTTTTTAGTAGATACCTACACTGCCGCGATGACTGGTGACTTATCATCCGTGACGGCCGCGTTCGGGTAAACAAAAGCCTGGAAATTGTTAGCCGAAAGCCGTGATGGGTACTCCAGAACAACCTCAATCGCGAAATCTTTGGAAAGGAGAGCCGCGCTGTTTAAATAGGGGCCACCGCCCGGAACGGACAGTCTAGTCTAATCCAGCCGAGTCGATTAATGATGATTAATGAGTAGTAGTAAAGTCAAGTTGAGTCGCAGTTACTCCCTGTATAGTAATTGTGTAGTTTTTTTTGTATTACTGAGAAATGAATTGTTGAGTTTTACCTACGCCGATTTAATTTCGGTAAATCGTAACAATATTCTAAACAAAATTTTAAGAATAGCCTCTCTCTACAACAATGTGCACTAGTCTTGGGATCCAAGAATGTGCAAATTACTATTGCTGATCTTACTGATTTTACAATGGCTTTTTTTCATAGTTTCCGTACATGAATGAAACTATTCCTTTCTCGCCACGAGAAGAGCAAATGTTCCCATCCATATTAATATTTTCGCATTGTTTTTACTCTTACTCAGTTTTTGGACCTGATGTACAACATTTTTCTTTTATTTCAAAGTGTTTAATTAAGTGCGGATTAACTTCACCTCAACATTTAGAAGAAGTACGTACATTTTAGGTGGTACATAAAGATTTTTGATCTGTAAAGTTAATCCTAACAGACTGGGCTGATCTTATAAATATATTATTATTATTATTATTATTATTGAAAACGTTGGGCAGAGGCAGAGCCTATTATGCCCATCCGCCGAAAACAATTTTCCAGCAACTACAATTTATTACTGCTTCTCACATAGGAAGAGTTCCGGTGTCAGATGGGTGTTAAGATGACTGGTACAGATATATACCCAGTTTGTTTTTAAAGGAAGCAGTTGTAGTTGCTTCAACGATTTCTACGGCTAAGCCGTTCCAGATCTGGAAGACTCGGTTGGTCAGAAAATTTTGACGCCATTTAGTTTTATAATTTTCATGGTATAATTTCAACGAGTGTCCCCGGAGACGGGAAATATCCGACAGAACAAAGATGTCGGCAAGGCTGAAACTAAATTTATTGGAGAGGATGTTATAAGTACAAACCAAATCATTGAAGAGACGCCGTTTTTCGAGGGTAGGGAGTTTCAGTGTCGAAAGTCTATCTTCATAAGATTTATTTCTGAGAGATTGGCCGTACTTAGAGAAACGACGCTGGACTTTCTCAATTAATTGCTTATCTTTTACTAGGGCAGGAGACCAGATTACACTCGCGTATTCTACGATAGGACGAATGTACGATACAAAAAGTGTTTCTAACAGAACTTCGTCCGGATTGGTAAACGTCTTTTGCAACAGATAACTTCTGACATTGGCTTTTTTTACAATGTGAACGGTATGCTCCGAAAAAGATAGCTCTTTGTCAATTATGACACCTAAATCGTTGATCTGCTGAACGGATTCTAAAACATAGTTGTTCAGAGTGTATGCAATGTTGGGGTTGTTTTTACCCAAGCGAAGTACAAAACATTTTTGGAGATTTAGGGGCATTAACCATACGTGCGTCCAAGTATACATAGTATGAAGATCTTTTTGGATGATTCGTGAAGATGAAAAGGAATTACCGTATATCCGACCATCGTCAGCGTAAAAAGCGTGATGTGAGTTGAGTGAAGTTAGCAGGTCAGATATATAAACAAGAAACAATACAGGGCCCAAGACCGACCCTTGCGGCACACCAGGTAGTACGTCTTTTTTATTTGAAAAAGCTGAGCCTAATTTTACTTTAAAATTGTGACCACAAAGGAATGCTTTAATCCATTGCAATAGGAGCCCACGAATTCCGCTGTTTTCTAGTTTGTGTATAAGACGACGATGGGGAACTCTATCGAAAGCTTTTGCGAAATCTAAATAAATTATATCAACTGGAATATTTTTTTCTAAAGACAACGTCCATTCATTAAGACATTGAAGTAGGCAAGTGACAGTGGACCTTTTAGGCAAGAAGCCATGTTGATTTAATGTAATAATGTCGTGATCATATAAAAATCGGAGAAGATGTCTCCAAATTATTCGTTCCATAACTTTACAACAGGTTGATGTCAGACTAATGGGTCGATAATTCTCCGCCATTGTTTTATCACCTTTTTTGTACACCGGTGTAATATGAGCTTGAAGCCATACTGGTGGAAGTTTTGATGTTTGAAATGAACGCTCCATGATATGTGATAGCGGACGAGCTAGATTACTACTACATCGCCTGAGAACATGTGATGTGATGCCGTCTGGACCAGGCGAACTTTTATCAGGAAGGTTATCAAGTTCCTTCAGAACTATTTCATCAGTGAAATTAATATTTGGTAACGAAGCTTCTGTACGAGGTGCTGGACATGCTGGTAAATTTCCTTTGGGTTCACTAGTAAATACACTCCCAAAGAAATCTGCTAGAAAGTTGGCTGACTCTTGTTCATTTTTTGCAAATAAGTTGTTGCTGCAGATAATAGGTATTAAAGGATTTGTCGAGGGGTAAACCTCCGACCATCAAGTGTACAATTGATTTCCTTTTGACAATGATTTCCTGTTGATTTCGCCCGATTTCTTTTGATTTCCTCTGATTTCCTGTGATTTCCTTTGATTTCCTGTGATTTCCTATGATTTCCTTTTGATTTCCGATGATTTCCTTTTGATTTCCTCAAAATTTGCTTACATAATGTACTACAGGGCGATTGTTAACTTTTTTTTAACTTGACTTTTTTGTTTTGCCGATAAAGATGTTGAATTTAAACCTTTTTTACCAAGCGTTTACTAACGTACGGTGACTAGGTAAGCTGAAGTGCTTTCCCTTTAGAGGAAAAAAATAAATAAATAAAATGTATTGTGCTGCTAAGCAACAAACTGAAATGTTTAAGAAAAAAAATCTGATTTTACTTACAAAAAGAACGCTACTCTAAAATAGAGGTTTTAGATATCTAAATCAATAGAGTAAGTGTACGTTCGCATTTTACACTTTCTTGGG